AATTGTAGATAGTCATAAGGCCCATACACTTCCCCTTTCCAAGACTGAACGTTAGCATTTCATGAATTTTGTCCAGGTTGTAGGTTTCAGTTTTAATGCTAGTCTCTGTTACTCTGTTTTCATTGGTGTTACTTCATTTACGTAACTGTAGCCTAGTGTTTAAATGGCAGTTAGTGATGAAAGCTTTGTTTTACTTGTATCCAGAGGGTATTTTTAGGTTGTCTGTGTTCATTCTCTGCTCTGAATTAGAAAGTTCATTCTGCAATACTTTCTGTGGTTACACAGCTACCTTGTATTCATTTTAGGATTTTCTTCAGTGATTTGGAAATTTTAAGAAAAATAATTTTATTAAAATGAGTGATTATCTGCATTACTTTGCTTCTGTTAGATTGTTAGACATATGCAAGAAAATAAAATGTATACTGATTATTTGTGGAGTACCACTAAATTTGAATATTTATCAGTTTTTCATATATTTCGTAAGTATTTACTGGATGCCTATGATAGGCTAAGTCTCAGTTCACTCATACATTTTATAAAGCTTATGTTTTGCCATTAAAATAAGCTTTCAGCCCAATATGGCTTGTTAATGACTGTAATCCTAGAACTTGTAGGGCTGAAATAGGAGGATCATTGTGAGTTCCTGTCTAGGTTACATAGTGATTTCTAGGCTAGCTTGGGGTGCAGAGTGAGAGCCTGTCTTATAAAACCTGAAACATCCATGATATTCTTTCAAACTATTCAAACTAAAAACCACAAATATGAGTATAATTTTTTATACTCATAATTAAATGATTAATTAAATAATACTTTCAGCTGTACTATAAAATGCATATTAGAAATAAAGGATTGATTCAGTTAGAATGTTATATGACAAAATCACAATAATAGTGATCTACATGTTACTGGAACAGGATCAAACCTCTTTTTTTAAAATGCTTTATTCTTTTTTTACAGTCCAGTCTTTATCTTCCTCCTGTTTGCCCTCTGACTGTTCTTCCTCATCTCATGCCTCCTCCCCCCAACCCACACCTGTCTCCAAGAGGATGTCCCCCCCACCCCCCACCCCCACCCCCACCCCCA